AGGTGGGGGGGGTAGGTTTCCTTCAGGTCCTTCCCGAAGGTGACTTGGTCCAGACCCAGACGGCTTCAGGACGCTGGTTGGGGAGTGTCCATGGGGGTCCTTGCTTCTATGGGCGGCTGCTCTGGGAACACCCCCCTTTTCAAAGGGGGGGTCGCACTGGCTGCCCCCCCTAACATGCTTTTCCATGATATTTCTTGAACAGTTCATATAGGGTGTCCCCCCCAAATGTAAACACACTTTAACAGCTGGTAACTCGCTTAATTTTGAAAACGAACTGTACGTTAGTAAACACTGACTTTATAATCATTCAAAGTATGTGTACATTTTTGGGGGAACACCCTGTATAATCACAAAATAAGAGATCCCTTTCCTTTTTCAGGACTTTAATCTCGTGGGGGAGAGTGTCCGGACACTGCAAGTAGCCCCCCGCCCACCCCCAGGGGTGCCGACCGGGTCACTGTCACAGAGGAGGCAGGTTCTGCCCGCGGGCCAGGTGCACCCACAGGACGGATCCTCGGGGGGCCCCCCAGGTGCTCCTGGCCCAGCCCCGCCGCCCCAGCGCCACAGGAGCTTGAAGAAAGTCCTCTGCAGGGAGCAGGCAGTTTATCTCAGGCCGACACGCGCCCGACCCAGCGGAAGTCCACAGCCCAGGGAATTCTAACACCAGCTACGGTTCCAGCCACACAAACAGCCTCTGCTCCCGTCCCCTGCACAGCCAACCGGACGGGTTCTGCTTGGAGAGCCTGAAGACTTGGGCATTTGGGGGAGACCTGGCCTTGGCACTGCCAGGGGGGTCCCAGGGGCTCAGGAATGGCCAGCACACCCTCGCAGGCGGCAGGCAGGCTCCCGGCACCTGGGGCGGGTGTGGCGGGTGAAGGGGGCACCCGTCTCCAGTAAAAGCCAGTTTGCTGACTTGTCACAATTATGAAAACAGAGATCCCGGATGGACAGTTTCAACACGAGTTTAAGGGAATTTAGCGGGAAATCCCCTAAAGCACTATCAGTATTTGAATTATGTCGTGTGAAGAAAGAAAGCAAGAGATGAGAGAGAGAACCGGGGGGCTCGCCCTTGGGGGGCCCAGCGCAGGCCACTTGGAGGAGGTGACGACTGGACTGTGAGAGTGCGTGGGCCCGGGGAGGCCCTGGGCACAGGCGTCTGAGCAGGAGAGGCCAGTGGGCACAGAGGCTCGGGTGGCCAGCGGTCAGGGGTGAGTGCCATGAGTTGGGACGGCTGGGCNGGCTCGGGTGGCCAGCGGTCAGGGGTGAGTGCCGTGAGTTGGGACGGCTGGGCAGGGCCCGGAGGTTGAAGCTTCTCTGAGGGCAGAGGGAAGGGGGAAGAGAGGCAGCCACGTGGGCCGTGCCCGGGCGTTCGGATCTTTTGAGGCTTTTTAAGCACAGAGTTGAAATTGGAATCACTGTTGACACTGAGTCCAAGTTCCAGGCTTTGGGTCCCAGGGCAGCGAAGGTCACGCTCCGGGCGGTTACAGGAACCAGGGCCCCGGGTGCTGGGTGAAGGCCCGAGGACTTTGTAAATAGACTTGATTTTTTTTTTTCCCCCCAAATGTTTTTATTGATTTCAGAGAGAGGAAGGGAGAGGGAGAGAGATGGAAACCTCAGTGATGAGAGGCATCAGTCAGCTGCCTCCTGCCCGCCCCTGCTGGGATGGAGCCCAAACCCCAGCGTGTGCCCTGCCGGGACTCGAACCCTGACCTCCTGGTCGCTGCTCGAGCGCTGGGCCACGCCAGCAGGGCCAGATTTGATTTTTTCGAACACTTTCAGGTTCCCAGGAAAATTGCACAGAAGATACAAAAATCTCCTATACACCTCCGTTGCCCCTCCAGTAAAATTTGCATTTGTTACAATTTTGGTTACTGTTAATCCTCACCTGAGGATATTTTGTTTCCGCTGATCTTTAGAGAGAGCGGAAGGGAGGGAAGGCGGGAGAGCGAGAGAGAAATGTAGTCGTGAGAGAGACACATCGATGGGTTGCCTCCTGCACGCGCCCCGACCGGGGCCCAGGATCGAACCCACAACCCAGCTACGTGCCCTTGACTGGGAATCAAGTCCACGACCCACTGGTGCTCCGGCCCACGCTCTGACCCCTGAGCCGCACCGGCCAGGGCTTGTTACGGTGTCCCGTCCCCC